AGTAGGGAGGGGACCAAACTGCTGGGTCCTGGCCATTTTCTTGCAGCAGGAGCCCATCCCCAGGCTCTGCCCAGCTCAGCCTCCTCCAAGGATGCTACTTTGCAGCTCAGCCGGGCCTCCGCTGGAATCCCTGCTGAGCCAGGAGTCTGGCATGGACCCTCTCCCCGGCCTTGGTCCATGCCAGCTCCTCACTGACAGGCAGAGGCCTCAGAGGGGCAGGGCGGTGAAGGGGAAATAGTGCAGCTCTGGGGCGGCAGGAGTGAGTCACCACCTCCTGGACCTTAGCTTCAAAGCTGTGGGCCGGTCACTTGACTTCGCTGAGCTGTAGAGCTTCCCTCTGTACCCGGGACAGCGTGCCTGCCTTCCAGGCATCACGGGGCCCACAGCTCTGGGAGGAAAGCACCTGAAAGACAGGTGCTCCGTGCGGGGCCCCAAGCCTCCTTCGACAGCACAGCCCTAGACCCCAGCAGCTACCCATGACCTACCACCGGCCCACACTTCCCTGGGCCTGGGTTCCTTTCCTCTGTGAGGTGGGGCGGGGAGTTAATGGTGCTCTTGTAGGGTGGCCACAGTCCTCAGGGCAGAGGGGACCTCTGCATGGGGACCTGGGGAGAGGTCTCTGTTGTTTGGGGCCTGGGGCCTGGCTACTGTTGTTTGTGGGAGGGGAAGAGGGAAGAAAGAGAGGGGGAAGGAGAGAGAAGATGGGAGGGATGGGGGATGGGAGGGAGGGAGGGAGGGGGGAGGGGGATAGGAGGAGTCATCACCATCACCCAGTAGCCAGGGAAAGCCGCCTTCCTTTGCCAATGCCCCACACAAACCAGCAATGGGCCAGAGAGAAGGCTGAGGAGGGGCGGGACAGCCTTCCCTGTGCCCAGGACAGAAGGGACTTGAGGTTAAGACTTGACGGCCTCTGAGGTCTCTGGGAGTCTGGGCTCCCAGCAATTCCCAGAGGACTAAGAAGTGCATTTGGGGCAGACTCCAGGGGTGAGCTGACCTGGAGCCGATGGCGGGCATCTCTCCCCAGCTCCGAGTTCTGTGGCTTCACCCCTGTGCCTGGATCAGCCGTGGTGGGAGGGCTTTCAGAACAGAAATTGGCAAATGCTACAAACCAGAGCTTTTTATTTTCTCCTGGAGAACAGGTTGTAAATATTCACCAGCACAGCACTGAGGCAGCGGGCTCTTCTCGGGGAGGGAAGGGTGGTGTCCCAGGAGCCTGCAAGGACTGGGCACACGCTGCTGCATGTCTTTTCTAGAGGATCATCTCAGAGAGAACTGACTACTACAACCAGTTGAAACAGAAGGGGATCAAAGTGCCCCCCCTGCAGCAGTCGGAGATCTTATCCTCGCCCAGCAAGTCCAAGAAGATAACCTCCAAGTAGAGGCCCAACAGGACCCCAGGCGCAGCCAGTCCAGCGGAGGCCAGGACCCAGCCTGGGTGTGCCCTGTGTGCCCCCCCCCCCGCCTTCCCCTCCGTCAGCCCCCGTGGCCTCACCCTTGCGCCCAGATTCAGAATTACACCTGCTGTTGGCCACCGTCTCACCTTCTCCTTCACTGGGACACACAGGGGAGCTTGGGCTACAGGGACACCCCCATTCCAAAACTCACTCGTTGGGGGTCAACACAGCAGCCCGCACCCCTGGCTCCTTCCTGGGAAGACTCCACGCTGAGCAGGGTGCCCTCTGGTGGTCCCAGGTGTAGGAGGCCTGAGACTGGGCTCCTGTCCACCGCTTTCGGTTCAGACCCCAGAGCGGTCCTTCTCTGCCGCTCACGCCTGTGGCGGTTCCCCTGGCAGGGGCTCCCCAGCTGGGGCCCTGTTTTGCTGGTGCGACCGCGTGGAAGAAGATGGGTCGGGCTGCGGCACTTCTGTTCACACCCATCGCTCCTGAGATGAAAGATCTGCGAGGACAGGCACGCTTGTCAGTGTCGTTCACAGAGACCTGTGCCCGGCACACAAACACGTGCTGAACCTAGTCAGTCCTCGGCCTCTTCTCTTTGCTCTGTACCCTCACCTGTCCACGCATCCTTTCATCCTTTCCTTCGAACAGCGCTCGCTCGAGCATGGCCGCCCCACCCAGGCCTCTGGCCGCTCAGAGAGAGCGGAAGGCCGGCTGGCGGCTGGGGAACCCGATGACTGGGCGCCCCCGAGAACAATCCGGTGTTTCGGTTCTAACCAGGCGCGCTCGCCATCCCCCCTCCCCCGACTGAGCCCGCTTCTGCGCTCGAGCCCGGTTCCCGGCGGGGAAACTGCAACACATGGGAGGGGTCTAGGCCCTGGAGAGAGGCGCGCTCTGCGGCCCTTGCGGCTCCTGCGGCCCCTGCGGCCCCGGCAGCCCTTGCTGCCCCTCGCCCCTGCAGCACGCACCTCTTGGAAGGCCTGGGGACCTCCCTCTTGCTCCGCCCTGCCACGCCCCCGGGAACGGCCCCCGCCCCTCCGCCCCTCCACCAGGCCCCAACCCCGTTCCCGGAGTCCGGCGGCCGCCCACCCACGGCCTCAGGCCCCGCCCCACTTATGCTCCGCCCCGACCTACCTGCCCGGCCCCTTCCCCGGGCCCCACCACCCACCGCCTCGCCCCGCCCACCCCAGCCCTGCTCCGCCCCCGCTCAGGCCCCACCCCCTCCCA